TGGATTCTGAGGAAAAATCGGGTACCGCTATCACACAACGAACAGGGAAATCTGTAGACACACAAAAGGGGAAAGCGAGAGGGGGGGATATATTTTGAAAAATTAAGTAAAAACCAGAGTACTGAACGCAACTCTCTCACCAGGTCTGAAATAGCACTATCCCTCCGCTACGCCCAAAGTCCCTTGGATAGCAGTCTTGTAGACCCCCCCCCCACAGTTCGTGCTGGAGGGGGTATATACAGAGCTCGAGCGAGTTGCGTGGAAGTGTTCGTACTGTGCCTTTACGTTCCTGATTTCCAGCAGTCAAAGCGTTCCGACTCCTGGGATATGTACTGGCCATGTTTGCATCGATGGTTGGGCCAGAGACTGGAAATATGTTGGGCGGTTTACGGGATTCCTGCGAGGGTCATCCGATTTGGTCCGATTTAGGCTTTGCTGTTGTTTTTCTGCAGTGATATTCTCTTGTTTTGATGCTGTCTAGGTAGCGTCTTTGTGTGGGTGGCACTTGGTTCATATGGATGGTGCCTTACAAGCGAAATGCGGAAGCATGAATGATTGGATTAGCGTGCTATGTCTCTGGGCTTTTCCCCTCTCAGTAAGGCAAAGAATATTTTTTTTGTCTCGGAAGGGGAAAGGGGATGTATTTTTGCTGACCTTTTCTAGTGATTGGGAATTAGAAATACAATAGTGCATAGCACAAGATCCAATTATTCAATTTTTTTACAGTACTTAACAAGGGTTTCTCTTTTATCGCCGCATCCCACCGCCGCCAAGCAACTATAATCCAGTAACCCGTACCTCTCGAGGTTCAAGAAATTATCCACAATTTGACTGCAGCCTAATTTTTGTTGAAACATACTTCTCGCACTACTGCGGTGTTACTCCTACCACTGATACTTTCTCCTTGCATTAAACCTGATGGCGCATCTAGACATCCTAGACTATTGAAGATACCTCCTTGCCTTTCTCACACACCTCTTTTCTCTATTATTGTTATTGTTCGCTCAGGCTATTTTTCTTGCTCCAAAACAGTGGATAGTCAGGGTCTTCAGCTCTTCCCTTTGAAAGTGTTAAGCATTCAAGTTTCTCAAGCGATCCATCACTTCTTCATATCTCGTATCATCATCATTCTATCCAATATTCTCACAACAATATTCTTTCCAGATATACGAGTGATGCCCGATGATCGGCTTCCCAGACCATGGGATATATTTAGTCGTGCTCGGGATTGTTTTTACGGTTTGGGGGGTTGTTCGGGGTCGGTTTTTTAGAGTTTGATCAGGGGATGCATATCGTTGGAATTCGGGAGATGCTGGGTGTGGCTTTATCATACGTAGTATGGTCATCGGGGTCAGATCGTGGCCTACGGTTGTGGCGCTATCACTCAACGGCACACACCTAGGATCCCCCTCCTCCACGCCAGTCGGGAAAGACCCGCGCTTGTGCTTGCCTATCCGGTACGATACGTTCTTTATTTCGGTAGGCGCTGAGGGGTTTGATGATAGCTAGACGGGTGGTTAAACGTGCGCATCACTATGATACCTATAGTTCCTTGGAAATAATTTGAGAAAACCGACTGCAGCAGGGAAAAAGAAGGGCAAACGGTTCCTGACCAGCCCCACGGTTCAACGGCCGTGTGTTCACATTTTCTCATACAGCGATTGGGTAAACCCCCAAAGACGGCGTGACCGGTTGGGGCTCTTCTTCTGCGGCAACGCTTCACCGCAGCTAACTGTGTGCGTCAAAGACAAGTGCCTGGGCATTATGACCCCGAAAAGAGCTGGGGGAGGGGGGGGGGAAGCCCCACGTGGATGGTCCTGACGCTCATCTGGAGCAGGACAACAACTGCGGCGTTAACCTCGCTCGCAGATTGTTGGGGAGTGAATTTTCGAGTTGATTGATGATATAATATGATATGCTCGGGCTGGGTTAGCTGGGACTAGAGACGGTTGTGTGGATCCGCTCATTCCAAATATGATATTCGCACTTTGTAACTTCATTCGGTGCTGACGGGTTGCTCGCGTGTGTTGGTATCATATCTCTCCACCGACATTTCTCTATCGTACATAGTTGATAAGGCAAGCGTGGAGCGAAGGCAGTATTTAATGTGATGTATCAACCACAGGGCGTCACTTAGGGATTGGTAGGTGATGGGTGTCGCTTCCGTAGTGATTCTTAGC